GATGGCACCTGACAACAACAACAATTTTCAATGATTTGTTGCTAGGATCTAGCAATACAGTTGAATTTTGTACAATGACCTAGTATCTTTCAAGCTTACTAAGATCATTACGTCCTGGTGTCGTGCTGTAGGTTAAGCACTGGACCATGAGGTTGGTTTGAACCACAAATCTACCAGCTGCTCCTTGAAAACCTGATACAGGATCACTACGAGTTGGAACTGACTTGATGGCACTTAAAAACAGTAAGAACACTTAAAGATTTTCGGTAGATTCCTTAGGATTTTCTATGTGATCATATAATCTGCAATAAAAGCTTTATGTCTTCAAACATTTTTCTGCCCAACTCCTCTCTCCTGAAGCCTCCAATTATATGGATGTTAGATGGTTTCAGAAGTCACTGAGGCTCTGGTCATTTTCTTTCAGTCCTTTTTCTCTTTGTAATTTAGTTCAAATTATTTCTAGTGACCTATGTTCAGGTTTCAGCTTTTGCTTTTATTTCTTTTGTAGCAGGGATGTCAAGACTATCCACTGAATTTTTAATTTCTGATATTGCAATATTTTTAACTTCCACAATTTACATGTAAGAAATAGTTTCTATTTCTCTCTTTAGATTCTCCTCCCTCTCTCTCATTATATCATTCTGTTTCTTTAAATCCTTGAGCATGTTTAGAATGTTGCTGTTGTTAAGTGCTTCACGTGGTTTCTGTATAGGGTTTCTGAGGAGCAACTGGTGAGCTTGAATTGCTGACCTTGCAGTTCACACCAACCATGCAGTCCAGTGCATTAACCACACCAGCTACTGTAAAGTCTTTGTCTCTAATCCCTCATCTAAGTCTATTTCTATTCACTGTGTTTGCTCTTAATTATGTGTCACATTTTCTGGTCTTTCTTTTCTCATATCTACTAAGTCAGGTTGCTAACCGCAAGGTCAACAGTTCGAAACTACCAGCTGACCCTTGGGAGAAAGATGAGGCTTTCTACTCCTGTATAGATTTACAGCCTCAGAAACCCCATACAGGGTCACTATGAGTCAGAACTGACTCGATGGCACTTACCAACAACAGTAATATTGATTGTACATTGTATATTGTGAAGGTATCTGGCCAAAAGTCTGCTCAGTGGCACACTAAAATCATTATCAGGTATTTTATTTATTGAACTCTGGGACTATGGGAGGTGTTGAGACTGATAGGGAAGAAACAGAAGACCTATCTTCATGTATTTGTAACATGTCTCTGAGCAAAACACTAGCCTCAAGGAGCCAGCAGTCTGCTGAAGTCGGGGAGAAGATACATTCCTAAGGACTACTGAAATGTAGTGTTGAGTGCAACTGCAGGTAGAGCTGGCATCACTGGGGTGAGCTCCATAGAAGAGGTCTTTGTGAGTGACCTTCTGAGGGCTGTGCAGAACTCGATTGAGCAGAGGGAGATTGGGGTAACCTGGGCACTGCTGAGCCAAGGGGAGGGGTGGGGCAAGCTTGAGCATGGTGTGAGCAAGGTCAGGGAACAGACCAATCTCAACCTGGCTGGGGGAGGTCTGAGCAGGGCAGAGTCTCAGGCCAGGGATGTCAAGTTGCCCCTGTTCTGTCCCATGAAGACTGAGTGTACTAAATTGCTAGGGCACTTCTCACTTCCTGTCCTTTTCCTGCAGGCCCAAGTTGGTCCCTCACCTGGTAGAGAGGCCAAGATCTCTGCAAAGGGAGACTTAGACTTAGAAGATACTTTCACAAAGGGGCAGGGTAGGGAGCAGAAACCTAAAGGTGCCAGTAGACAAATGGAATGGGTTGCCTTCTATAGTGCCACTCAAAGGACAAGAAAAAGAGAAGTGGTGGAAGCATCTTGACCAAATGTGAGTTGGCATCTCCCAGGTGCCAGGGAACTCACTCCTAGTCACCGTACCATCCAACACCGCATACCGGATCCCGAGTCCAATCTTTTATCCTCTAAAGAACACACAATCAGATTTGGAGTACAAAAGGAGGCTTAGGTGGGGGGTTGGGGTCTCAAACTTTGTTTGAGGCTTAGGATCAGGACTGATCCTTCAAAGAGCCCCAGAGTAGCTTTGGAGGAGGGGTAGGGGTTGTGTGTGGGAGAGGTGGAGGATAATCTATGAGGCAACAAGGGGTGGGGGTGGAGCATCCCATGAGAAGATGTCTGGGGAGGAGGAGTTTGATCTGTTCGAGAACATCTCCTCAGTGCGGCCTTGGGATGGGCCTCAGTACCACATTGCTCCGGTCTGGGCTTTCCACTTCCAAGCAGCCTTCATGGGCTTTGTCTTCTTTGCAGGGACCCCACTCAATGCCGTGGTGTTGGTGGCCACACTGTGCTACAGAAAGTTACGGCAGCCATTCAACTACATTCTGGTCAACGTACCCCTGGTGGGCTTCCTCTTCTGCATCTTCTCTGTCTTCATTGCCAGCTGTCAGGGATACTTCATCTTTGGTCACTACATGTGTGCTTTGGAGGCCTTCCTAGGTTCCGTAGCAGGTAATGTTGGGGAAAACATAGGGCAGGGGGGTGAGAGGACATGCTCCAGGATTGCAAACAGGGACCAGGGTATTGGGTTGGATGGGCCCCCTAACGAGGAGTCTAAGGGAAGGGTTTGACGTTCTTTTGAATTGTTAAGTGCTGCCAAGTCAGTTCTGATTCATAGGGGGCCTGTATAGGGTGTCTGAGGAGCGGCTGGTGGGTTTGAACTACTGACCTTTCGGTTCAAATTGACCTTACAGGCCAGTGCTTTATCCTACAGTGTCACTCCAGGACTCCTCTTAAATAGTATAAAGCAGCCCCCAGTTACATGTTTGATTAAAATAAGGTGTCTGAGACCCAAACTATTCCAATGATCAGTCCAACCCTCTCACGAGTCTGTGCTTGCTCCACCTCCATGTCTTCCATTCCTCCTGCCAGGCTGGGCAGGGATCTCTCTCCGTTACCCTCACATTTTACCACAGGGCTGGTGACAGGATCCTCACTGGCCTTCCTGGCTCTTGAGCGCTACATTGTCATCTGTAAACCTTTTGGCAACATCCGCTTCAGCTCCAAGCATGCACTGATGGTGGTCCTGGCTACTTGGATCATCAGTATTGGGATCTCCATCCCACCCTTCTTTGGCTGGAGCCGGTGAGAGTGAAGGGCAGTGGTGCTTACCTAGAAAAAGCTCAGGTTTATGTGGGTGGAAAGAGTGTTTAGTGTCTTTTTCAGTCTTTGGCCTCTACTTTTTAGCACTGGTAGAGTAGGTGAGGCTAAGGGGCTGTGGGAGACAAGCGTTCACAGTTACTCTAAAAGTTGGAATGAATTACTATAGCCTTTTGCTGGTGAGAACAGAAAATCCTCCCTGTCTGAAGTCTTCTGGCATCTCTGGGTTCTAAGCGAACAGCATCCAGGCATTTTAGCTCCTATTCCACGGATTGTGGTGAGCCCCACAGGGAGCCAGTGCTTATCCCATCCATGACTGAGTACCTGCCCCTTTGCAGGTTCACTCCAGAGGGTCTGCAGTGTTCCTGTGGGCCCGACTGGTACACCATGGGCACCAAATATCACAGCGAGTACTATACTTGGTTCCTCTTCATCTGTTGCTTCATCGTGCCCCTTTCTCTCATATGCTTCTCCTACTCCCAGCTGCTGGGGGCTTTTAGAGCTGTGAGTGGCTGTTGTGAGGGTGCACCGGGGGGTCCTAGTGGGAGGGAGGAGTAGGTGAGCGCTTAAGAACATAAAGGTCCACAGCCAGGTAGAGGGGGCACATCAAAACAAAGAGAATGAGGGAGAATTATGAAGAGTAGGGTGATCATTCCTGATCAAATAGGTGGGTTCTGAATGTGAGGATGTATGAAATCCTTTCCACAGACCAGAAGGCAGCCCCCACCCTGCCTCTCCCAAGGAGAGCCAATGGGAATGGAGACTCCCTGGTAGAAGAGTCCAGAACTGGGAACTGAGGGCCAGGGAGAAGGATGTGATGGTGTCTACGCCCTGCCCCAGGATGTAGCTCAGCAGCAGCAGTCAGCTACAACCCAGAAGGCTGAGCGGGTGGTGAGCCACATGGTGGTGGTGATGGTGGGATCCTTGTCTTTGTTACATGCCCTATGCTGCCTTGGCCATGTACATGGTCAACAACCGTAACCACGGGCTGGACTCAGGGCTTGCCACTATTCCTGCTTTCTTCTCCAAGAGTGCTTGCGTCTACAATCCCATCATCTACTGCTTCATGAATAAGCAGGTAAAACTCTTTCCTTATATTTCTGTGAGCTTCCACAAGATCATAGCCCCCTTCTCACCAACGACCACAAACCAGGGCTTCAAATCTTGATTCAAAGCCCTGCTGTAATTGTAAACACAAAGTACTGAGGGCTGTCCTCAGAGGGTTCGATAAGGAGAGGCACAGAAACTTAGAAGAGTGGGAAAGGTGTCAGCACAGAGAAGACGGTAGGTATCATTAGGAAGATAATAAAACCCGTGGAGGAGAGCACTTGTCGTAAAAACCATGTTGTTCCAAAAGCCAGGATGAGAAGTAGAGTTCCCATTTTCTTTTTAAAGGGTCTGAAAAATTGAGGTTCAATAAGCCCACTGCTATCGAGTCGATTTTGACTCATAGTTATCCTTTCTAGGGGTTCTGAGGTTGTAAATCTTTACAGGGGCAGACAGCTTCATCTGTCTCCCACCATCTTCTTAATTGGGAGTTATGTGAAGTTGATTTCAAATCTGTGACCCCATGTGACCAGAGTAGACCACCCCATAGGACTAAGCTGTAATCTTTGATAAGTGCCGTCAAGTTGGTTCCGACTCGTAGTGACCCTGTGTAGGATTTCTGAGGAGTGGCTGGTGGGTTTAAACCACTGACCTTATAGGTCAAACCAACCTTGTGGATCCTTCAGTGCCACAGCAGGACTCCAAGCTGCAATGGTTTTGGAGGTAGATACCAGGGCTTTCCTATCATGGAGTGTCTAGGTGGGTTTGAACTACCAACCTTTCAACCATTGCACCACCAGGGTTCCTTTCATTAGGAGGATCTTCTAGTAATGGGGCGCAGGTGGGTGGGCCAAATCTAGGGTAACTGTTGACAGTGATCTCATCAGGCAGCCTGGTATATGAAGTGGCCTCAGCTAGCAAGAATTACTGTGACCCAGGGTAGTCCCAGACTGCTATTTAGCCAGCTGTCAGGAATGGGAAGATAGAGACAAAACTACCTGAGCAGATCCTGGTATCAGACACGGTGGAAGGCTTTGGGGATATACAGAATGACACCTTTTGTCCACACTTCGTGATGTCATCTCCCTGGCACTAGTTGGCCAAGAGGGCTACCACCACTGCTGTCCTTTCCCTCAGTTCCAAGCCTGTATCATAGACATGTTGTGTGGGGAATCCACAGTAGACGAACCTGACACATCCAGCTCCCAGAAAATAGAAATCTCTACTTGCCAAGTTAGCCCCAACTAAGGAGCACACTTCGTTAGCAACTAGAATTTTACATTTAAGTAAGTTTTTTATTTTCTTGGTCTAAAGCCAAACTATTAACAACATAGAAACCAACAAGGGGAAAGGTGGTGTGGAATCAAGTTTTCAGTTTCCTCTTTCTTTTCTGTCCACAGAGCTATTGCTTCCAGCTCCAAAGACCTTTTCAACAATCATAAGTTTCTACTTCAAAGTGGCACCATTCAAAGCATCCGGGGAGGGGATTTCTGTATACAGTAACGATGGAGGCTGGTTTAACTTCAGTGAACGGATAACATCTGGATAGTGTGTTTTTAGTAACATTTATTTATTTCTGGGAACATGCTGAGATGGTGGCATTCTGCATTAGAACAGACTTTTTAACTCCATACATGTCCTCAAAAATGACTCTGTACCTTTAATATTTTTATTAAACTGTTTAAACCAAAATGCTTCAAAAGTTGTCCAACACCTTATGTTCCATAACCCTCCAGCTCCCTCCGAAAACCAGCCTTTTGGAAATAAACCTCAAGACAAATGCTTGCACTCGTGAGTGGCTTGTGTTTGGCATCAGGTAATTCTGTAAGGAGCAGCTGGGCTGCTCTCAAATCCTCGGCCTCAGGGAAACAGAGAAGAACTACAGCTGGGCTTAGAAGGATGCTAGAAGATTCCAGAACCCGAAGGCAAGGCACAGCTAATTTGGGAGAGGGTCGTCATCTCTCAAGACTTGTGGAGGCAGAAGAGAGTGAACTACACCATCTGGGAGCTCCATTCCTGGGACATTTCATAGCACCCCACTTCTAAGTTAAGAGTTCCCATTCTTAGAGAATGAAGGCCACAAATACTCACCATGAATGTAAACAGTTTTATTTAGAAACAGATATGTACCTGTTTGCAGTACAGAATATAAAACTTGGTTTACACTCCATAAAAAATAACCAGTATCCAAATTCAAGAAAGCTAGCATCCACAAAACACACAATGTGGGTGTGTAGCTACTGTGAACCAGCCTCAGGCTTGCTTTAAACCAAAAACAGAACCCAGGGAAATCATGAGTAAATGCTGGCTGCTAACCTCCCAGCATCCAGTTGTCTTGGCAGAGTCAAGTCTGCTTTCATGGAAGGCCTGGGCTCTCACCTGTAGGCTCTCTGGCCACATGGCTCAGGATGCGCCCCTCGAACTAAGTCAGGGTTGGTGGCATGGACCTATGATCTCTAGTCTTCTTAATAAGAAAGGTGGGAATCTGGAGGGCAGAGAATTCTCATTTTCCTTTCCCTATATCGGGGTTAAACTTTTCTCTCTCTCTCTTTTTTTTGTAATAAAAAGGGTGTAGCCACTATTAAGAGCTCAATTCAAAGGCTTTGGTGAAGTTACATGATACTTGGCTTTTCACCAAACCTAGCAGCCCATCTCAACATGATCATGGAAGACCAAAGAATAAACCTAGGTTCAGATTAGAATCGTCACCCAGCAACACCTGATTGTATTGTCTAGGAAGATACATGAAATAATAAAGGTTATGTATATATATATATATATATGCGTGTCTTAGTAACCTGAGGGGCTGAAAACTTGGAATACACTAATTCTTTTCAAAAGAGGTCCATCTGTAAGAAAAGGACCAGAGAAGACAGGTTCATGTTCTGTGAGAAGTGGTAAAGCTGAGTTGGAAACTATCTCTTCAGCTCTTTCTACAACATCCTTCTCTTTGATTGATAACACCATTTGGGGGGAGAATGGGAGAACAGGGGAGTAATTCAAGGTCCGACAGAAAAGGTGAGCAACGGTCCTCAAACCAAAGAGTCCTCTCATCTTCGAGTCTGAACTCCAGCTTGCCAGCGGATACAGTAAGAGGCCTGGTAATAAGTGGTTTGCATTCTGAGGTATGAGGATCCCTGGTAAATTCAGCAGCATGTGGGCTCTGGAAACCAGCCCATAAGATGAGAACACTGCCCCCGAGCTTCTAACTAATACTGCTAGTTAGTCACTGTCCAAAGGACAAAGGGAAGAAGAAAACAAATCCACATTACATACTGGGAGGGTCTAAACCATCATAGAAGGTGGCCCAAATATCATCTCTTTACTTCATCTTAGGGGTTCTTTCAGAGCGTCCCCATTCAATGATCCTTTCTCTTGTTAGCTAAAGGCACTTTCCATGAGCTGACTAGGGAGGAGGACATTTTAATTATAGTGAAAACAAGATTGATTCCTCAGTTCATTAACAACTGGGGGAATCGGGCCAGATTTAAAGAGAGCTTCACTGTCAAGAGAATCTCAAGCATTTCAAAAGCTGCACACGCAGGGAAAAATAGTATGCCCTGAAAACACTTGCATTTTTTCCTTTTCATTTTCCAGCTGTTTCTATCTATAACTTTGTAAAGAGATTACACTCACTACTTGATTGATTTTCAAGACATTGGCCTGAACTCTTCCCACCACAGCTGTGCTTGACAAAATTAGCAAATGGCTAGTCCTACAGGGGTGGAAAAAACAGAAAAAAGGAACTCAATCAAGTTGAGCCAGAGTTTCTTTCAGCACAGGGGTCATCCCTTGCCCAGATAATGCCAGGATCCATTGCTGGGTCTATAGCAACGGAATGAACACGTGGCCTCTACCTCCTGTGAAGTGTTGTGCTCTCAGAGAGAGGGTGTTAGTGCGCTAAAATAGGAACTGTGAGATGGGTTTTTCCATTTTTCTCCCCTAAACATTTCTTATTGATCTCAGGCTTAATTTTTAGTTAAGAACTAGATAAATGATAAGGAGTTGAGACAGAGTGAAGGACTAATGCTTACCTACGAGTGTGAGGTAAGGATCTTGATCCTTCATATCATACTCCCAACCAGAGAACAAATACAAAAATAAACACATGTTCTACATAATACAAAGTGTAAATCTACAAACACAAGTGTAATCATTACGAGTTGTTCCCTCCAGTCCCTGGGAAAGGAGGAGGAATGGGGACAGGAGGGTTTCTGTTATGCCTTTCCACATCCGAAAAGTCTGTGATAACAGTCTCAGTAGCGAAAACAATCTCATGTGAAGCCAGAAGCTGTAAAAATAAATTACTTTTGAAGAGATGCGGGCTCCTCTGGCTGCACTCAGAACTCATCATGCCGCACTAGGGCCTCTCCAAAATCTGTGGCCTGGCTGCCCACGAATAAATCATACTTGTCAACAATCTCCTCCTTGGTGAGCTTGCCATCCTGAAATTAAGACAGTGCAGTGAATAGAAGCAGAATATACTTCCCAAATTCACAAACACAGCTATAGGACAGTAGGGGTGAGGCAGACTTCAGATTCTACTTTCTATTGAATTAAAAGTGAGCTTAACCTTTACCCTTACACAAACACAGAGTGAGGAGGGAAGGAAACAGCAATTAGTACATTTATCCTATGCTATCAAGAAAATTAAAAAGTGGAAGATAGAAATATTATAGCTCAATGTTACAGATGCAATGTTACAGCTGTTTCCTGAGGCGACAACTTGCTCTTTAGAGAAAATGTAGGACAACTGGAAGTGCTAATAGATGGTCACGAAGAGCTGCACAAGTATTTCAAAGTTAATCAAGTCACTGTATGACAGGCTCAACAGAATCAGCTACCTCTCGGGCAGGGTCCCCCCTTCTGCACTCTGCTCTAACTCCCACTCAGATTCCAAATACAAACCCATCTCAACACTGATCAAGGCCAGATTTCCAAGGGATGGTTAATGAGTTTCCTTTTCTTGTCTATCTTAGGACACAGCCCCTGGCAACTGAAGTGACTGAACAGAATCCAACATGCTGACCCTACAGGTCTCTACAATAATTGACTCTACAATAAGAAACTGCACCTGACATTGTGGACAAGCTGAAGCGACAGAAGGGTCAGACTAAACATCCCATTTCCAGACTGATTTCCAGCTTACTCTAAGGAGAGTATTCATATCTCTGATAAAGGGGATGGGGGCTTGGTGATAATCTCACTCTTGATGAACAAGGATACTTTGAATATGCTCCAGAGGAAAGTGGATTTATTTATAACCCACTGAGTACTGGTGTGGCACAATAGGATTAGCATTCGTCCTCAAGGTCAGGTTGTGCCACAAGGTCGGCAGTTGAAGCTCCCCAGCCACTCCTTGGAAACCCTATACAGGGTCACTATGAGCCGGAAATGACTCGATGGCACTTAACAACAACAACATTCACAGTACCCTGTGGTATTGTGAGTCAGGAGCTGGACTGCTAACCACAAGGTCAATGGTTCAAACTCATTAACCGCTCTGCAAGAGAAAGATACGGTTGTCTGCTCCCATAAAGATTTATAGTCTTGGAAACCCTATGTAGGCAAATGGTTTGGTTTTGGACATAGGACGACCTAAACTTTAAAAAGCATATTTTATTTCAGAAGGAAATAACTAGCATTCAGAGAGCAAAATGGGTCTATAATGAATAGGTAAAACAATGGAAATATTCACAAAGTAAAAAAAAAAAAAAGGCAAGGAAACTTCCCAAGAACCAGACGATAACAGAAGACGGTATGTGCTGGGCACTCTACAACTCTACAGTGGGTCTCTCTGAAGTCCACGGTAGTCAGTGCCCCCCCAAAAAGTGAACTGCCAAACTTAGATCCTTAGCGGACTCAGTTTAAATAAGACCTTCCATACTTTCTGGCCTTTCAGGTTTTTTTTAAGTAACCACCCAGGAGCAGACTCAGATGGTGGCTGGGTGGTTTGGGCATGGCCATCTTACCTTGTTTTGGTCTGATTCATAGACAAGGTGCCTGGCTTCTGCCTCCGCATGGTCATAGTCTGAGGGGAGGATCCAGTCTTTGGTCTCGTCCTTGTCCATCTTGCCATCTCGGTTCTTATCTCGAAATTCCACAAACTGTTCTCGCTCCGTCTTTACCCATTCAGGCTCATCAGCATTTCCATCGTGGCTATACATGTCACCTGAGTGCACACACGGGTGAGAGGCGGATTGGTCTTTCTCAGTGACTGAACCATGCTAGTGTGGCCTCCCCCTTTCTCCCTATGCCCCTGCTGTTCAGAACCCAACAGCAGCACCAAGGGTCTTTTAGATCAGAGACCCAAGAAAGCAAGGCATTTTCCCGAGATGTTATTACAGATCTTGCAAGAGTATTTACTGCTGTCGATCTGAAGGGACATGAGAGAAAATGAGAATCCTTACATCTTAAAAAAAAATGCCATCATAAGGGGAAATGAGACTCGCAGCAAGGGAGATGACGATGAACTTTTCTGAGAGTTAGTCCCTGTACTCCATCTCATGCCAAGGTATTGACCACTGACTTCAGAAATGCTGTTTTAATTCTCAAGGAAACTTGTCTATTGCCAAGTCCAAACTGCCTACACTGGCTAATTGCTGCATGAATTCATTGTGCCTACCAGTGGTAAACAATGCCCTGGAAAAATACAAATACTACACAGTGGTATACTGGGAAAGGACTGCAGCAAGAAAATCATGTTCCAGAGCCTCAACTACCATATAAAGTTTTCCCCAAAAATTCATCTGCCTAAGATGCACCTGTAAGGAGCTCTGGTAGCGTAGTGGTTACGAATCGGGCTGCGAACCTTAAGGTCAGCGGTTCGAAACTACCAGCTGCTCCGCGGGAGAAAGATGAGGC